TCCTGGTTCTCACTCTCAGAGATACTTGTTGAATTGGTCTGGCGTGCATCTTGAGTAATTTTTTAAAATCTCTCCAGGTGGCTCTTCTTCAACAGAGTCAAAGAACAACAACTTAAGCAATGCTTGTTTACATTACATACCCGTGCACTTATCTATTCTCAGATCCATCAGAAAACTGAGATAGCAGGACAAACTGCCACCTCAAAATCTTGAGAGACAGAAGAATAAAGGAAATTATAGCCAAGATTACATTAACTGAAACAGATGACCCTAGAGCCAGTAGGAATACTTTAAAGTAAAGCTTTAAAGAACTATTGAAGACTGTGTGTGGGCTATCTTGAGTTAAAAACTACTGGGAGGTTTCCAGTTCCACATTTAAGGTACTTTTAAGTTGCCACTCCACCTAATAACAAGCAAAAATGCTAAGCAGACTGAATTATCAACAACACTTCTTAAATCTGTAAGAGAGGGAAGAATGGAGGTCAAACTGTTGCCTGCAACACTGGAGAGAAAGACAAGTGGATACAAAATTCAAAACCACCACAGGAACCAATACCAAAAAAGGGAAAACTTGAACTGAAGTTGACAAATTGCTGGAAGCTTAGTGTAGACAATGCTGAGCATTAAAAACTCCAGAGAGACCTAGTCAAAGAGGGAGACCCCTGGAATATTATGAAATTTACCACTAAGACCTTGAACAGTTTCTTAAATTAAATATCACAGAAAAATCCATTTTGACTCTGTCAGAGAGAAAAGGAAAGAAAGCATATATATATCAGGAAAAGGTTCTCAACAAAGCCTGCCCTCTGGTAAAATTAGTTACCAGAGCCTAAACTGTTGTGGTATTATCAGAGTCTAAGTAATCAGGGATAGGGAAAATATCCAATTTCTGCCCTCTATAGCAAATTTGTCCGACGTAAGGGAGGATAAAAGACTGAGAAACTCCTGTGAAAATCGCAATCCAGAGGCACAGGTTTTCTGAAACACTTTGATCTAATCACATAGAACACTCCATCTCCCCTCATACCTCACTATAATACTTGGTATATTTACAATAGCTTCTTTTACCTAGTACATCAGGCCTAGCTAAAAAGAAAAAAATTATAAGACATCGTAAAGGAGAAAAATAAAATTAGAAAAGATAGAGAAAACATCATAGCAAACTGTGGCAGAAATGTTGAGTGATCAGACCAGGAATTTGAAATGTGTTTGACTAATATGGGCTTCCCTGGTGCCTCAGTGATTAAAAACAAAACAAACAAACAAACAAAAAACCCTGCAATGCAGGAGATCTGAGTTTGATCCCTGAGTCAAGGAGATGCCCTGAAGGAGGGCATGGCAGCCCACTCCAGTACTCTTACTTGGAGAATACCATGGACAGAGGAGCCTGGCGGGCTACAGTCCATGGGGGTGGACAGAGTAGGACATGACTGAAGTGACTAAGCAGCAGGAGCAGCATAACTAACATGCTAAAGTCTTTAATGGATAAAATAAACAGCATAGAAGAACAGAGGATCAGTGTAAGCAGAGAGCTAGAAATCCTAAGAATGAATAAAAGCAAACAAAAAATGTTAGAGATTAAAAATAGAATTGAAGAATGCCTTTGATGTGCTTGCTAGAAAGCTGGACACAGCTAAGGAAAGAATATCTGAGCTAGAGCACTTATCAACAGAATCGTTGAAACTAAAAAGCTAAAAGAACAAAGATGGATAGTACAGAATATACAAGGACAAGTATTGTGGTACTGTAAAAAGAAAAAAAAAAGTGTAACTTACTCATAACTAGGACTACTACAAACGGAATAGTGAACAGAAAAAAAGAAATACATGAATAGCAATGATTGAGAATGTCCTCACATTTCTGTCAGACTCCAAACCACAGATCCAGGAAGCTCAAAAAATGCCATGCTAAATTAAAGCCTAAAACAACACACCTAGGCATATCTCTTTCAAATTATAGAAAATCAAAGATAAAATAATCCAGTAAGCAGCCATGGGGTGGTAGTAGGGGGCACATTTCAACCAAATGGGAACAATGGTAAAAATTACATAAAACTTCTCAGAATCCTTGCAAACAATAAGAGAGTGGAGTGAAATAATTGAAGTGTTGAGGGGGGGAAAAAAAAAAAAGCTACCAACCTGGAATTCTGTACTCTGTGAAATTATTAAAAAAATGATCCAGAGGGATGGGATGGGGAGGGAAGTGGGAGGGGGGTTCAGGATGAGGAACACATGTAAATCCATGGCTGATTCATGTCAATGTATGGCAAAAACCATACATTGGAGAGTCACATACTGGGAGAAAATATTTGCAAAAGACATATCAGATAAAGGACTGTAACCCAAAATATACAAATAATTCTTAGAATTGAAAAATAAGAAAACAAACAACCTTATTTTTTAAAAGACTGAAGACATTACAGACATCTCACCAGGGAGTATTGACAGATAGAAAATAAACACATTAAAAATAGTTTCATTTTACATATCACCAAGAAAATGTAAATTAATACAACAATGAGATAATTTTATGTATCTGTTGAAATGGACAAAATCCAAACACTAATAATATCAAATGTTGGTAACGATATGAGGCAATAGAAACCCTTATTCATTGATGATGAGAATGCAAACAGTTCTAGAAGACAGTTTGGGGACAGGTGAGGTCTTATAAAACTAAATGAACTCTTTCTATAACATCCACCAATTATACTACTTAGTATTTATCCAAATTTTGAAATATTTCCACACAAAAACCTGTATGAGGGTATTTATAACAACTTAATTTATAATTGCTAAAACTTGGAAACAAAGTGTCTTTTGGTAGGTAAATGCATACATAAACTGTGATATATTTGGACAATTGTATATTACTTGGTACTAAAAATGAACTAACAAGCCTTGAAAAGACATGGAGGAAACTTAAATGCATATTACTAAGTGAAAGAATTGATCTTGAAAAGGCTATTTGCTATATGACCCCAAGGTATGGCAACTTGGGAAAGACAGAATTATGAAGACAGTATAAAGAGTATTGACTGTCAGAGGTTTGGTTTGGGGAGAAATGAATAGCAGAGCACAGATGACTTTCAGGGGTGAAAATATTCTGTATAATATCATAAAATTGAATGTGTTTGTTCAAATTCTTAGAATTACAGCAACAAGAGTTAACTGTAATATGGATATGGACACTGGGTGATGATATGTCCATTTAGGTTTATCAGCTGTAACAAATGTACCACACTGATAGGATATATTAGTAATGGGGGTGTCTAGGGATATGTGGGGGTAAGGTTGTTTGGGAAATCTCCACACTGCCCTTCAAATTGCTACTAACCTAAAGCTGCTCCAAAAAAATAGTCTTAATAATAATATTCATGAGTATGTGCTAATTTGTTTTAGTCCTGTCTGACTCTTTGCAACCCTCTGGACTATAGCCTGCTAGGCTCCTCTGTCCATGGGATGCTCCAGGGGAGAAAGCTGGACTGGGTTGCCTTGCCCTCCTCCAGGGGGGCTTCCTGCCCCAGGAATCAAACCTGCATCTCTTGTCTCCTGCACTAGTTAGTGGATTCTTTAACACTCATGCCACCTGGGATGCCTAATAACAATATAATACAAAACAAAACAGAAAAACTGCCAGAACCAATCTTACAGAAATCCCATTTTGGATTTGGTCACCAGATTCTCATGCAATAGGTTGCAAGAGAATCTTCTATTGTTTAGCAGTGAAAGCAACAGAGTCACTTCGAAATACAGTAAACCTTTTTTCTTTTATTTTGTTTTTAATAACCAGAGCTTGACTTCCAAGGATATCAACATTACCAAAGACTTTTTATGACCTGGGGAAGGATAATTAGTAAACTCCAAATTGGACTTTCTATCTAACTTAAGGAGAGAAGAAAAGATAAGAAACAAGTTTAAAGATCATAGTGAAAGTCCACTAAAAAACTGTGATTTAATCATGATAGAACACTTTTCTTCTTTCTCAAAACTTTATCACCACATCAGTAAGCTTAAGCACAATTGCAGTGAATTGCAACTAAGAGAGTAAAAGACAGATACTAGCAGAGTTTCTTAAAGAAACCTAAAACAAGAATCAAAATAAACAAGTAACAAATAAACAGGCAAAAACATACAAACAAGGAAATTAGAGAAAATGAAATTTCTGACACGTACAGCTATAGAAAACAGGAAATAAGGCCCAATTCCTAGCCAAATTAACATGCAAATCCACACTGAATATCAAATAATGTTAGTTCCTAATACCTGATACATCTTGTTGATCATTCAACAGAAAATTACAAAGCATGCTAAAAATTAACTAAAGCAAAAAAAAAAAAAAAAAAGAAAGAAAATTCAGAGTGAAGAAGCAAAACAAACATTAAAACCAAACTCAGATAAACCACATATTTTTGAATTGGTAAACAGAGCACTTAAAATAATTGTCATTGATCAAAATTCAGGAAGTTTGGCCAAGCTGGTAGAATTAGAAGACCCTGAACTCATCTCCTCACTCAGTCACATTAAAAGTATAAGTTATAGAGCAATTATTATTCTGAAATCTAACATAAAAGATTTTCCATAACTGAAGGTATAAAGAAGGAACCACAGCAGAATGGGCAGGAGCAGCAGAGATATGTTATACTCAAAACCCACATTCAGGGGTAGGCAACTCACAAACAAGAAGGTAACCATAATTGTAAAAGTTCTCCCCAAGAAATGAGAATTTGAGCCCCACATTGACTTGCAACTCTGGAGCCTTTCCACAAATGAGTCTTGCACCAAATGAATCCTCAGAATGCCAGAATGTCCTGACTTTGAGGGCCAACAGGGCTCGCTTTAAAACCCAGAGCACAAAAGACATTCCACTGTTGAAAGGGGCAGGGCAATTCTAACCAACTCTGAGACCCAGCACAGAGACAGCAATTGTAAAGGTCCTGAATCAGACCTGCTTGCTCTCAGAGAGACAGGAGGCCCCCGGGACAGCCCCTGAGGACATACCTGCTGGAGGTAACCATTTTTGGAGCCTGTTCTACGCCAAGGACACTGGTAGTTCACGGCAAGGGCCATTTTGGAGTCCTCCTTCTTGACTGCCCTGGTGATTCAGATTGTAAAGAATCTGCATGCAATGTGGGAGCCATGGGTTCGATTCCTGTATTGAGAAGATCCCTGGAGACAGAATGGCAACTCACTCCAGTATTCTTTTCTGGAGAATTCCATGGACAAAGGAGCCTGGTGGGCTACAGTCCATGGGGTGGTAAAGAGTCAGACAGACTAAGTGACTAACACTTTCTCTTTTCCTCTTCACCTCTAGCACCAGGACATGACCTTGCACACCATCTAATCCCAAGACCACAAGACACAAGTAGTCAGTCTTCTGGAGACCCAATTCTGGCCACCATGAGAATGGCATCAGCCCTTCCTCCAGTTTCTTTCATGATAGGCCCTACTCCCAGCAGAATAACAGTCCTAGGACTTTAAAGGCCATGGCCACACCTACCAATAAGCCAGCCCTAGTCCCAGGAAGCTAGACCCATAGCCAGCCATGGAGACTATCATCCCACCCACTTATGGGCTGGCATTAACCCCAGAATCACCCAGATCCTGTACTCAGCCATGCCAGGACTCAACACTGTCAACCAACTGGCAGAAGGTAACCCCGCAAATCATGGGCCCTACAGCCAGCCACACTGGAACGGGTCTTACACAAAAGCAGGTTACCACCAGCCCCAGGACTCCTCAGGCTAGGCAACCAACTTCTCGTTAGTGAGGTCTTGGTCACCAGAGACTGGTAGTCTCTGTACAAGGCAGAACACGGAAGTCAGCCAGGCCAAGGACCAGACCCAGCTACCAACACACCACAGTAGTCAGCCCTACTGCAACAGAAGGCCCAACCCAGCACACACAGGTCAGTTTTAGATTATAAACTCCAGTGACCAGAGGGAGTATGTTACTAGGCCCCACAGGACATCTTTTATATGCTTCTACTTCTTCAAACTAGGAAATGTAACCAACTAACCTAATACATACAAACAAGACAGAGAACCAGGCAAAATTAAGTGGCGAAATAATATGTTCTAAAGGAAGGAATAAGATAAATCCCCAGAAGAAGCAGCAAGTGAAATGGTGATAAACAATATATCCCAATAAAGAGTTCAAGGTAATGATCATAAAGGTGCTCAACAAACTCAGAAAAAGAATGGATGAGCACAGTAAAGAGTTTAACAGAGTTAGAAAATATAAGGAAGAATCAAACAAAGCTGAAGAAAATAATAACTGATATTAAAATACACAAGAAGGATTCAAAATTAGATTAAACATTATGAAGAATGGAACAGTAACTGGAAGACAGACAAAAAGAAATCACTCAAGCTGAACAACAACAACAACAACAACAACAATAAAACAGATTTAAAAAGGAGGACAGTTTGAGTCCTCTGAGGCAACACCAAAGGTATAAACGATTGCTTTATAAGGCTCCCAGGACAAAAAGAGAGAAAGTGGCAGAAAAAACATAAAGAAATAAAAGCCAAAAATGTTCCAAACCTGGGAAAGAAAACAGAAAGGTCCAGAATACACATAGAATCCCAATTAAGATTAATCCAAAGAAGCCCAAAGACTCTTGAATTAAAATGGCAAAAATTAAATAAAACAAAAATAAATAATAGTAAAATCAATAGCAATAATAATAATAAAATAAAATTTAATAAAAAGAGAGGCCACTAAAAGCAGAAAGAAGTAACTAGATATATATAATGGAACTCCTAAAATTACCAGCTGATTTTGCAGCAGATACTTCACAGATGAGAAGAGTGTTGCAAAGTTTATTTAAAGTGATGAAAGGAAAAAGACTACAAGCAAACAAACAAAAAATACCAAGCAAGGTTATCTTTCAGATTTTAAGGAGAAATAAATTTTACATACAAACAAAAGCTAAAAGTTTTCAGTGATAGTAAATTGTCTCCACAAGAAATATGCAAGGGATTTCTCTGAGCAGAAAAGACCACAATGGGAAATATGAAAATAACAAAAGGAAAAATTTTATTGGTAAAGAAAATACACAGTAAATATAGATCACTTATAAAACCAGTAGGAAGATTAAAAGAGAAAAGGAATAGAATAATGTATATCCATAATAAGTAGTTAAGGACTAAAACAATACAAAAATATGTAAAATATAATGTAAAAAAATAGTTAAAATAGTGAAGGGGACTAAAAATACAGGACTGATAGAATATTTTAGAACTTAAGCATGCATTCTTAGTCCCTCAGTCGTGTCCTGCACTTTGTGACACCATGTACTATAGCCCCAAGCTCCTCTGTCCATGGGGTTTCTCCATGGACAGGAAGCCTGGCGTGCTGCAGTCTATGGGGTAGCAAAGAGTCAGACATGACTGAGCAACTGAACTGAACTGAATGGAGTCACTTTATCAGATGTGTCTGTACTGAGAGCATCATTCTTAGTAGCTAACCACAGTGGTAAAGCTAAGAATTCCTTTACTATTAGTGATGCAAAGCTGACTGCTGCAAAGGACATTCATCATAAACTTTTAGGAGAGGCAGTTGAAAAGGTGTCATGAGTTCCTCTTTTGACTACCACCATAATTAGACATGGAGAAGGAAATGGCAACCCACTTCAGTATTCTTGCCTGGAGAATCCCATGGACAGAGGAACCTGGCGGGCTACAGTCCATGGGGTCGCAAGAGTCGGACATGACTGAGTGACTTTCATTATAATTAGACAAATTGATTAAATGGCAGAGGATACTGAGTCACAATTATTAGAGAGGATTAATGAGTTACTGTGGTCTGCATTCCAGGTTGACAAGTCTACAGATGTTGACAACAGGGAAACAAATGCTTATTTTTGTGAGATATATTTTTCAGGAAAATGTGCATGAGGATATGTTATGTGCACTTTTGTTATCAACCAACACCACAGCTGAAGAACCATCTAAGCCTTTGAATGATTACATACCAGGAAAATGAAGCTGGTTATTTTGTGTCAGTGTATGTATAGACAGACCAGATGTCATGAGTAGATAGCTTTCTGGTGTCACTGCTTAGGTAGAAGAGGAAGCTTCGGAATGTGAGTCTATGCACTGTCATCTGTAGAGAAATGCTGGCTAGCCTAAAAATGTCACCTGAATCTAACAATGTTTTGCAGGATATGATTGATTAAAATTGTCGTGGGGAAGAGTCAATTCTGACTCTATATTCGGTCTGTTTGTTTAACTTTAACCTTTCTTTCCTACCACTTTTGTTGTACAGTTTGTACATAATGGCCTGCCTCAGGGAACTCTGACCCTCTGCCATAATATTAAACTGAAGTGTCTTTATTCAGAACCCTGTGTGGACGGCAGGAAGGAAGAAATTAGCACATCCCCTTCCCAAGGTTTGATATTCCTTTTTTTTTTTTTTTTTTTGCTTTACTTCCTTACCTCCGCCCATCTTTGTTCTGTAAAAGAACCTGGCATCCAGACCCAGGTAAGATGATTACTTTGAGACATTTGTCTGCCATCTTCTCGGTCAGCTGGCTCTCTGAATAAAGTTATATTCCTTGCCTCAATAGCTCATCCCTCAGATTTATTGGCCTGTCATGCAGCAAGCAGAGCAAGTTTGGACTTGGTAACAAAATGATCAACTGCATTAAAGTACCTACCCTTAATTCATATCTGTTTAAGCAGCTTTGTGAGGAGATGGATGCAGAGCACACACATGTTCTCTTATACACAGAAATGAGATGGCTTTCTAAATGCAGATCACTGGCCAGAGTTTTTGAGTTACAAGGGACACTTCAGAGATTTCTTTAAAAAAAAGAAAGAAAGAAAGAAAGAAAAAGTCACCACTGGCAGCACATTTCAGAGACACAGAATGAGTTGCAAAACTCTGTTACTTGTGTGACAACCTGTGCAACAAACTCAATCTGTCACTTTAGGAAAGAATAACAACTGTGTTCAAGACAGCAGATAAAGCTCCTGCATTCAAAATCAAATTGAAATTATGGGGGTGATGAGTAAACACTTGGATTTTTGGCATGTTTTAAACATTAGCAGAGGTTTGAAAGAGTTTCATCTAGGGCCTACTTTTTCCTAACTGGTGCATAATCATCTATCTCAGCTTTCAAAAGAGTTTGAGCATTACTTCCTAACCACAAAATGCACCCAAACTGGGAAGCAAGGGAACCTTGAGACATTTGTGAATAAGCTAGGCAAATCCACTTTTACCTGTGCTAGAATGGGATCAATTCCTTGAGATGACAAATGATGATGGCCTTAAAAGTATATTTGAGACAGCTCCAAATCTCCACACATTCTGGATTAAAATAAAGGCTGAATATCCTGAGACTGTCACAAAAACACTGAAAAGCCCGCTTCCATTTCCAACATCCTATCTTTGTGAAGCAGGGTTTCTGCAGTGACAGCAACCAAAACAAGATTATGGAGGAGATGGGACACAAGCAACATACTTCGTGTGTCCGTGTCTCCCATCTCTCCCAGATGGGGCTGTCTAGTTACAAGAAAGCAAGTTCAGGGCTCCCACTGATTCTGCATTATGGGAAGTTGTGTAATTATTTCATTGTGTATCACAATGTAATAATCAGATAAAGCACACAATAAATGCAATACATTTAAGTCATCCCAAAACCATCCTGTCCCCTGGTCTGTGGAAAAAGTGTCTTCCACAAACCCAGGCCCTGGTGCCAAGAAGTTTGGGGACTGCTGGTTTAGAAGTTCTGGATGGCTGGTTTCATGTTGGCTCTATTCTCCCTCAGCTCAGTTGGGCCTAATGATTTTCCCTGAGACTCCACTTCAGCTATTGTTGGAGTTTCCAACAGCTTGGAAATATAAATCACATTTTCCTACTCCTACTAATTTTCCTGGCTTGCCCTGAATTCTGTGACTGCTTCTCCATTTTGACACCCACTGAAAAGGTCCTTAGCAACCAACTGTCACATAACCTCCTTGAGAGCATATGGCAAGTCTGGATTCCAGTTTTTTTGTTCCTTCCCCCTTTGGTTTTTTCCCACCACCGTTTGATTTTTTGACTTGGACCTTTTTCGGTTTTTTTGGGATTTTACAGCATCAGTATTGTCTGTTACATGAACCT